GGAAACCGCCGTAAAGTGGAACACCCTTTTTTTCCACTTACAAATGCATACAAACACTAGATAACAAGTTTACACTAACATATATTAAGTTAGCAATAGAACCAGGCATCAAAAAAACAATAAAAAAGTACAATACACACACAGTGCACTCATTACTTACCTTAAAATATTTATAGTCTTAATCTAGGGTGAGACAAGTAGTATTTATTGTAAGAAATCAAGTGTGGTATGTATGGTAGTCAGCCAGGCTACCATACCAGGCCACCCCACCCACACATACAATTCTATGATATTTAAGCATCCCAGAGCGATAAAATGTATATACAGTTCACTCATTACTTACCTTAAAATATAGGGTGAGATGAGTAGTATTTATTGTAAAAAATCAAGTGTGGTATGTATGGTAGTCAGCCAGGCTACCATACCAGGCCAACCCACCTACACATAATATTCTATTACATTTAAGCATCCCAGAGCGATAAAATGTATATACAGTTCACTCATTACTTACCTTAAAATATTTGTAGTCTTAATGTAGGGTCAGGAGTAAGTAAATGAGATAAAACGAATAAATGAGAGAGAGAAAAAATGAGTGCATGAGAGAGGACAGGCGCAGAGTTATGTAAACAAACCAGGCGAAGGTAAGTTTTGTAAACGAAGTGTACACGTCTGGTTTGTGTACAAGTTACATTGTGTACAGGTTGTCTCTACACTGATACGGTAGAATAAATAAAGAACACTCCCATTCTCATGTAACATCATTTTGAGAAGAAATGATGCTCTGAGTGAAGGCAATGGAAATAAGTCATTCTGACTTTTTTGGGTTATCCTAGGTTCTCTACACATATGTTGTTATGTATGATAATCTATGTAACTGTATTTGTGTATACCTGAATAAACTTACATACATACGAAAAGGAATAATTTTCTACAGTTACCCCTAGTAACACATTTTCTCTTATGTTAGATTAGAGAAAATGTTATTCTTGGCATCACTTGTACAAGTTATCTGGCTACCACATCTCATATTTATGTTATTTATTCTATTGTAGGGTGTATTTATCATCTTTTTATGTTATGTATCGTGTTTATTATATAATGTTGAAAAAAATATCATGGATGGATTAATGAAAATGTGTATATTAACGTAATATACAACATTTAATGAGACTCGGTGATTATTATTATTATTATTATTATTATTAGCATTTCTAATATGGCGTCACTTGTGCAAGTCGTCTGCTACCACATCTCATATTTATGTTTATTTATTCTATTGTGGGGTGTGTTTATCATCTTTTTATGTTATGTATCGTGTTTATTATATAATTTTGAACAAATATCATAGATGGATTAATGAAAATGTGTATTTAACGTAATATACGACATTTAAATGAGACTCGATGATTATTATTATTACTAATATGACGTCTGGAGACATAAGACACTCTTACTGATTTTAATGTGTACCTGCATGCCAGCACAGTATGTAAGTTTATTTAAGTACAGGTATACATAAGTATAATTATCAGAGTATATATAAAATATGAAATGACTTTTAAAAACATTTGAAATTTTGGAGTTTCCAGACAAAATGGAGAGACTTAGTGCTTACTGAGCTCACGAAGAATGTAAACAAACAAGGTGGGGCGCGGTGACCATATTAGAAAGTCAGGTGGGGGGAGCCGTATAGCGAGTTTTGGTCATAATTTGAAATGACCATATTAGCGGAACGCCGTAAAGTGAAACGCCATAAAGCGGGGCCCTGCTGTACTCCTTGAATTCCTGCACATATTTTTCAGCTGCTTTGTGGTCCGAACTGGCAGCCTCACCATGCCTTATCACACTATGTATGCCACTACGCTTCTTAAATCTTTCAAACCAACCTTTGCTGGCCTTAAATTCACTCACATCATCACTAGTTGCAGGCATTTTTTTAATTAAATCCTCATGCAACTTCCTAGCCTTTTCACTTATGATCACTTGAGAGATGCTATCTCCTGCTATCTCTTTTTCATTTATCCACACCATTAAGAGTCTCTCAACATCTTCTATCACTTGCGATCTCTGTTTCGAAAACACAGTTGAACCTTTGGCAAGAACAGCTTCCTTGATTGCCGTTTTCTTGGACACAATAGTAGCGATGGTTGATTGGGGTTTACTATACAACCTGGCCAGCTCGGAGACACGCACTCCACTTTCATACTAAGCAATGATCTCTTTCTTCATCTCTATAGTAATTCTCACCCTTATTCCTGTAGGGTTGGCACTAGAAGCTTTCTTGGGGCCCATGGTCACTTATTTTGCAGATAAAATCACCAAAAACACTGTAATAATACGAAATGTTCCGATTGTATGCTTGGATGTTACCGCGGAGGCTGGCTGGCTGGTAAACAATGCCACCGGCAGAACATATGAGGCTGGCTCAGGCTGCACATTAGACGCGTCTCAGACGAATAGCGTTGAGCGGGTTTTTTAGTGGTATGCAAGGCAAAATCTTAGCGATAAAATGTATCGGTATGCGGAATTAACATTATGTGATGCCAACGGTATGTGGGGGTCCACTGTATTCTCAGAAAAAGTGTGTTGTGTGTGCTCACACCACAAGGCAACCCCAACAGGGAACACATGATTCATGTGTCAGCAATGTGGGGTGGCACTCTGTATGAGTCGGTGCTTCATGGAGTATCACATAATCCTAGATTTCTAAAAACATAACTGGGGCCTGTAAATACCTTGTATATATTAGTAGACAACAATAATAATAATATCTTTATCTTCTACAAGTATACATATAGGGTATACAGACCTAGCTGACATCAATGACATACTCCTATATCAAAAGCCCCATGTAATGAGGAGCATTTTGGGCAAATTAGGTCAATTTTTGTCCCAGGATGCAACCCATACTAGTTGACTAACAACCAGGTACCCATTTAACAGATGGGCAAGCATGGACAAGAGGTGTAAGGAAACATGCCCAATGTTTCCACCCTTGCCAGGAATCAAGCAACAGTTTGTACATGTGTGTTTGTGACAGTATGATTACTAATTCTGCACCTAATTTTTGTGTCTAAACAACAATTGGCTAAAAAATCAAAAGATCTACAATAAAACATAATTAGCATACCATAAAACTAAGAAAATTGCAAAAAATGGAAAAAACAAAGTACAATGGACCCCCGGTTTACGATATTATTTGATTCCAGAAGTATGTTCAGGTGCCATTACTGAACGAATTTGTTCCCATAAGGAATATTGTGAATTAGATTAGTCCATTTCAGATCCCCAAACATATACGTACAAACGCACTTACATAAATACACTTACATAATTGGTCGCATTGGGAGCTGATCGTAAAGCGGGGGTCCACTGTATATGCAACATTTCTGCAAGCAGCAATGCACCATGTTGCCATCACGTGAGCATCCAGCGCCAACTTCGTGGCCTTATATCTCGGTAAGTGCTGGCCCGAATTTTTTTTTTTTTTGGTCATATGACACTTAGGAAATTGCCCTCTTTAATTTTTTCAAAATATTCGGAGCACTAGTGGTGAAAACATAGATCAATGTTTAGACAGTTAAGGGGGTTAAAACCCTCACTCATCTTTCATGGGGGGTTGGAGTGTTAAACTCTATAAACTGCATTCAATCCTAATTTTATCAAAACTAAATATATTCTGCAGCCTCTCCCACAACTAGATATATTCCGCAGCCTCTCCCACAACTAGATATACAGTATTCTGCGGCCTCTCCCAAAACCAGATATATTCTGTGGCCTCTCCCAAAACTAGATACTATACATACTTCCTTAAGCACTCCTCACCACCCTCTCAGGCTGTACCTCCATTATACTCCCTACCTTACAGCACTGTATGATCCTGGCGGGTTTAGCACTTGGTTTTGATTATAATAATAATGGCATGCTTGTCTCTTTCCTTTCCTGTGCAATATGTAAATTGTCTAACTTTAATGAACACTTCATATGGTACTTGGAAACCTGAAACTGCCTTTTTCCCACAGTGACCCATACAGTTGTCAAGGAGTGTACAGGTCATTGTAGATGATACAGGGCAGGGCTTATGTTACCATCCTGTCATGGCTGGCCACCTTGAAGCCAAATCCTACCCAGCATAACCATAATGAAGAACATAATCTTCACCAAAACACATACATAATTGCCATCAGAGTGGACTGTAACAAATGCTGGAAATTTTGGTTTACTATATACAGTGCTTGAGTATCAGCTATACTTTTAATTGTACCCATAATTGTTGGAGTGACAACACTTGCATGATATGCAGTGGTAGGCACAGATAACCAAAAAGTTAGCTTTGCTAACAGCTAATCTGGTAACTAAAAAATTAGCTCCACTAATGCTAAACTGTTAAAAGGTCAAAAAAATTAGGGGAAGCTAACGCTAAATGCTAACTTTTTCACATGAGTTCAGATTCGGTTTAGTTTTCTGGTCTTTTACTTTTACTTTTAAGACTTTTAGAACAGACCTGGAGAGCTTTCTAATAAGATATACATAAATGCCAAGGTCATGTGGTGATCAAGTACCACTTGTGCAAAAATAGCGATTGTTTAATTTTGTGATGAAATGCAAGCGACCGACAAAGACACACTTGTCGCCCTACTGAAGCCCCATAGCACCCAAACAGACTGAATTAGCTTATTTGACTGTTTTCTTCATTAGTTCCAGTTACTCATTGTATTCGTTTATTTTATTCTGTTTCTGTTCATGTTTGCATTTAACTTAATTTAGATTTTGAACCCAATAAACTACAAACAAACAGTTGAAAATCATGCTTAAAGTTGAAACCTTGAGGCCAACTTATTGCTGCACCAGTGATGCAGTCATACAGGTGCACACAACTTATCGCTGCACCAGCGATACAGACTTACAGGTGCACACAACTTATCTCTGCACCAGCAATACAGACATACAGGTGCACACAAATAGTTAGATGAACAAATGAAATCAAACATCAGTTTAAATCCAACATACACTTTATTTACTGTACAAAATGCATAGCATGGGTATCATGCCAAGATCAGATGATGGCTGGGCTGATTACTGCTCTGGATGGGCCTTCTCCATTGCTGTGATGTGATGCTGGTTGCCTTTCATGAGCATCAGCCTCTCAGTTTCCATCTGACAGGGTGGCTCTCTTGGCCCTCTAGATATCTTTGCCTGTAGAGAATAGGCACTCAACTGCAGCACTGGATGGGATGGCAGTGTTGTACTTAATGAATAGGTCGATCAAGACCTGCTCACCAAAGAGGGTGATTTCACATGTGACTTCCTTCAAGCTGGTCTCCAGCCAGGTCTTCACCATGCTCTGTGCCTTCGACTTCAGTGACCTATGGCTTCTGCTTCCCGGAACCGGGTGATACTGCTGAAGAAGTCATCTTCTGCATCCTCATTAGTGGTGCTCCTGTTCTCCTCACTGCTTTCCGACTATCAACAATGCATGAATTTTTTTTAGCGGACTCAAAGTTATCGGAACTTTATTTAGCAAAAGCTAGTTAGTCCGCTAATGGTTTCCGATGTTAGTGGAAATGTTAATCCGTTAAACAAAAAGTTAGTTCCGTTAATTAGCAGTTAGCAGATTAGCGGAACTGTGCCCACCACTTATGATATGATACAATTACAAACTAACTCTTAATAATAAAAACTTCTGAACAGCCATCTTCAGGAAAATTTATCTGAAGTGTAACATTCTCTTCATTGCCACTGTCAGAAATAGTTGGAATACTGATGAAAGTTGGCTGCTCTAATTCTCCATCTATAGTCACCAGAGTATAAATAGTACATTCACCTGCTTCTGCTTGTTGATTTGTTTCCAATACTGAGCAATTACCCAAGTTTACAGATTCATTTATCCTGTTTTCACCCACTACTGTACATACTTCAGCAAGACTATCTGTTTGATTCATATTTTGAAGATGGGATGCTTTCTCTAAAAGTGCATTGTCCCCAAAGTTAGCTTCCACTACTTGTGGTGGTTGTACCTTGTCACTTGGTTGATCTGAAAACTGAACTTCAAACTGTGTATCACCGATGCTATTATTGGATGCTGCTCCATTCAGAGTTATGATTTCATTGTTTACTTCTGTGACTAAATGCGTAAGTGGAAGAACATTATTTGTGATATTTGAATTAAGCCCTGCAACTGGAACTAAATTATCAACACAAGAATCTGATATTAAGGCTACACTTGATAAGTCATTTAAAACATTAGGAACAAGATTACCCACTGATTCATTATTTTCCTTGCTTTTGTATTCACAAGTATTATAAGTTGTGCATTCGTCCTTCCTAAAGACACTATACTCAGTATTGACACTTTCTGCAAGTAGTTTTAGTTTTATCTGATTGCAGTGATGAGACTTCATTTCTTGTTTTCTTGTAAAGACTTCATCTGTAAATGAGAAATTTTAATATTTATTTTATTATGAGAAATGATACTGTAAAGTCAATAAATAAGTACAGTGGAACCCTGGGTTTTGTCCTTAATTCGTTCCAGAAGGTCGATCTAAATCCAAAGCAGATGGAAACCGAAGCAATATTTCCCATAAGAAATAATGTAAATACAATTAATCCGTTCCAGACACCCAAAAATATTAAAAAAAAATACATTTTTTAAAGAATAATTACAATTTTACATACAGAAAACAATGAGAAAGAAATAAAAATGACCAATGAAATGGATAAATGAACATTTAACATCACACTTACCTTTATTGAAGACTCTTGTTGGGTTATGGAAAGCAAAGAGGGGAGAGGGAGGAGGAGCAGAGGTTACTATTTGGAAAGGGAATCCCCCTCCATAAGGACTTCAGGTATCAAAGCCCTATCTGGGGTTACTTCCCTTCTTGGTGTTTTACTGGCACTGGACCCCTGTCACACTAAAACTCTGTCCAGAGAGCTCTGTTTATGGTGTCTCTTTAAGATTTCTCTAAAATGGGACAAGTTATTGTCAATGAACATGTTGTAGATATGGCTTGTATCAGCTTGGTCAGGGTGATATTTTTCCACAAAAGTTTGCACCTCATTCCACTTTGCACAAATGTCCTTAATCACTGAAGAAGGCACCTTCTCCCCTCTCTCTTCATCCTACTCTGAAGCAATTTCCTCAGCTGTGGTCTGTTGCTGTTCCAGATGAAGGTCTTATGAAGGTCTTACAGCTCTTCAGTGGTTAGCTCTTCCCTGTGGTTCTTCACCAACTCTTCCACATCCTGGCCACTCCATCCAACCCCATGGACTTCCCCAAAGACACAATAGACTCCACAACAGGCGTAGGGTCGACAGGGTCAGCCTCAAACCCTTCAAAATCTTTGTCGAGGACACATTCTGGCCACTATTTTCTCCAAGCACTCAATAAACAAGCACAAAAAACAATGGATTATTACAAAATGTTTCGGATGAATGCTCACTCAACCAGTGACAGAGCAAGACTCAGACACGTAAGCATGAGTGGCGACGTCCCGGGCGAGCAGACGTCTCTGATATGGATGATTTCTGGGATGAGGTATGAAATCCTGAGCAAAATTTCGCTAAAAAAAGTGGTTGACATCTGAATTGTACGATATCTGGTGCAGACGAAATCCAGGGTTCCACTGTACAAGTCTTCCTCTCTTTATGGTAATTTACACATGATTTGTGGTTGCCATGTGTGATCGGCATGGTTTGCAAAACACAATGAAGATTCTTGTGTGTAATTTCTGTTTATGGCCTGACTGAGTTTAGTACAGATGCCAAGACTGGAACACATCTACAGCATTATAAGAGGTACACCTGTACTGTTAACTTAAAATGCAGAACTGGTTTCAATAAGCAGTCGCTTAGAGGCATGCTACCATGTGTTTTAATGCACATTGGTCGAGGTATTTACTAATAATGGGGAAATGTTAAACCCACAGAGGTCAAACAGTTTCTGGGGATTAGGTGGTAATCAAGTATGACTCAAGGGGGTGAACAGTTCAAATTCCTTAGAACAAGACCTCATCATCAGTCTCCTTGAAGAGGGCACTTTCAAACAATATTTTAAATAATGGTATGCCATATCCCACACCAGTACAGTGGACCCTCAGCTTACGATATTAATCCGTTCCTGAAAGCTCATCGTTAGCTGAAATTATCGTTAGCTGAATTAATTTTCCCCATAAAAATAGTGGAAATCAAATTAATCTGTGTAAGACACCACAAAGTATGAAAAAAAAAAAAATTTACCACATGAAATATTAATTTTAATACACACGAGCTGACACTTACCTTTATTGAAGATCTGGTGATGATTGATGGGATGAGAGGAGGGGAGAGTATGGAACTTGTTAATGTTTAGAAGGGGAATCCCCTTCCATTAGGACTTTAGGTAGAATGTCCTTTTCCGGGGATACTTCCCTTCTTCTTTTAATGCCACTAGGACCAGCTGACCATGGTGCAGCAACAGATGACCGTGGTGCAGCAACAGCTGACTTTGGTGCAGCAGTAGCTGACTGTGGTGCAGCAACAGATGACAGTGGTGTAGCAGCAGCTGACTGTGGTGCAGCAGCAGCTGACTGTGGTTCAGCAACAGCTGACTGTGGTGCAGCAGCAGCTGACCATGGTGCAGCAGCAGCTGACTGTGGTGTAGCAGCAGCTGACCGTGGTGCAGCAGCAGCTGACCGTGGTGCAGCAGCAGCTGACCTTTGGTCAGCAGCAGCTGACGTGGTGCAGCAGCAGCTAAACTGTGATGCAGAGCAGCTGACCATGGGGGCAGCAGCAGCTGACTGGAGTGCAGCAACAGCTGATGGTGGTGCAGCAGCAGCTGACCGTGGTACTATAGTACGTATTTCCCACCCTTTTTACATATGATCGCTTGAGAGATGGTATCTCCTGCTATCTGTTTTTCGCTTAACCACTTCATTTCCATAGTAATTTTCACCTTTTTTTGCCACACAGTTGGCACTAGAAGCTTTCTTGGGGCCTATGGTGACTTATTTTGCAGGTACAATCACTAAAAACGCTGTGATAATATGAAATGTTCAGATTGTATGCATGGATGTGACTGCACTGGCTGGCTTGTAAACAATGGCACCCATGGGACAACTGAGGCGCGCTCAGGCCACATGTGGACACGTCTCGAACGAATCGCGTTGGGCGAATTTTTTAGCGTTAGCTGAGGCAAAATTTTTGCATTAAAATGTATCGTTAGCTGGATTTAACGTTAGCTGTTGCCATCGTTAGCTGAGGGTCCACTGTATATAGGTGAGGTCACATGCCTAGATGACTACTGTCCATACCATAAGGGTTTAGTGTTTCCCCCTGTGATTAAATAAATCTCTAAACCCTGAAATTCATAGTCTTCTTCATGTATGTGTTCCTGATTACAGTAGGCCATCATTTAGCACGAGTTTATTTGGCACGATTTGAGTATAGTATGATTGAAGAATTGCGACACAATTTTATGTAACATGTCATAAAATCAATTTAACACGATTTGCGAGAGGGGAAAAAATTTTGAGCGCGTGATTGCTCGGTCGCCTGCGGTGGGTTACACCACTGAGTCAATGGAGGAGGCCTACCGCCATCCCCCCACCACCCACACCATGCTCCCAGCCTCCAGTTCGGTTCGTACGAGTGTAGGATGAAGATACTCGGGAACCTCGCTGTGTTTATTTACATTCATTGTACTATATCTTTTCATTGCCATCTGTTAAATCTGCCAAGCAATCATGGCACCCAGTAAGCATACAAGTGTTGCTGAAAGTGACAAGAAAAGGTTTCAGCACTCAAGTCTAGGAATTGAGATATTAGATAAGCTTAAGAGTGGATCACGTGTGGTGGATATAGTGAGGGCCTATGGCCTTAATGAAGCATCAGTTCATACAATTAAAAAGAATGAGGTGAATATACGAGCTTGTGTAATGAATAACCCAAGATGTCACCTCATGAAAAGAATGACATGTAGTTCCCAACAATAAAACAGAAAATTTGTTGCTTGAGTGGGTTGAACAAAATTCAAAGAAAGATGCACCACTTAATTTTCTCTTAATTAGGGAAAAGGCCTTACAGTTGTTTAAAGCAGTGTATGATAAGGAAGGCCTGAAAAAGTGTGTGTTTAGCACAGGCTGGTTCCACAACTTTAAGTTGCATAATAAGTTACATAATATTAAGTTTTCTTGTGAAAGTGCTTCAGCTGATAATATAGCAGCAAGTAATTTCCCTGCTGAATTGCAGGAAATTATTTCTGAGGGTGGCTATGAGCCACATCAAGTGTTTAATGCTGACGAGACAAGTGTTTTTTGGAAAAAAATGCCAACATGAACTTATATCAGTCAGCAAGAGAAGAGTGCACCAGGCTTCAAGACAGCAAAATATCGCTTCGCCTTGGTCCTTTGTGGTAATGCATCAGGTGATTTCAAGTGTTTGCCCATGGTCATTTACCGCTCTAAGAATCCTCGTGCTTTGAAAGGTGTACATAAAAACACCTTACCAGTAATTTGGAGGTCAAACCAGAGGAAATATTTACTGACTGGTTTAAGCATCACTTTATTCCTGAAGTCAAGTTTTACCTGCACAGCAAGAACCTTGCATTCAAGGCTCTCTTCATTCTTGATAATTCCCATACTCATCCACAAGCTTTGCTGGATGTGACCCCATATGTAAAAGTTGTATTTTTTACCTCCAAATACAACATCTCTAATACAACCACTGGATCAGGGAGTTATCAAGTCATTCAAGTGTAACTACACAAAAAAGTTATGAAAAATCTAGTTGCATCAATGGACTCTGATTCCAACTTGCTAGCACCAAGCTTCTGGAATAAATTTAACATTGCAGATGCTACATGTATAAGCTATGCTAGAAGTGCATGGAATGAAGTGCCCCAGTCAACATTAAATGCAGGCTGGGAAAAGTTATGGCCTTCTGTGGTTTATTCTTTCACTGGTTTCCCCTTGCTTGAGAGTCAGGTTCAGGAAATTGTTCAGCTGGCAAAGAGATTACCAGGTGATGGTTTTGAAGATATGAGTGAAGATGTGAATGAGCTCTTAGAAGATGATGATGATGAAGACAGGAGTCCAGAGGAAATGTTGGCAGAGCTCGATGCACAGATACAAGGGAGGGAGATAACAGAACATGAAGAAGAACCTGAAGAAAAACAGTTAACACTGCAGCAGTTATGTGAGCAGTTCCATGCTGCTGCTGCTAAACTAGCAGACTTTTTCACTGAAGAGGACCCTGACAAATCTAGAAGCAGTGCTCTGAAACGGGGTCTACACCAGCTGATGATGCCTTACCATCAGCTGTATAATGTACTGCAGGGTAAAAGAACCCAGAGATCCTTACAGAATTTATGCACACTCCAATACAACCACTGACTTCAGTACCAGAACCTCTACCATCCACTTCTGTTGACAACCAACAACCATCCACCTCAGCCCCAGTAGGGCCACACCATCCATATCTACTCTCTCCACAATCATCCACATACACCATTACCCACAATTTAAGGTAAGAAATACTATTATTTCTATTGCATTTGTAGTCCTAAGCAGTAATATATCATGACAATGAACTACAGTTACATATTCAATTTTATTTTTGTAAGATCTGTTTGATCTAAAAAAAGTTGTTTGGCTTTTTGGGCGCTCCCAGGAACGTAGCCCTATTTTTCCAATAAGTTCTTCAGTTCATCTAACATGATTTTACCTAACACGGCATTTTCAGAAACGTAACTACCGTGTTAAATGACGGTCTACTGTAACTTACACAAGGTTGTTTGGGATGTTACATCTGTTCTTAGTTTAACTGCACTGATCAAGATTTTTCTGGCTCATAGGGAGACGAGCATAGGCCAATCCCAACTTAGGATGCAATGTTTTGCCTAAAGACTGTAATAAATCCTCTACTTGCAGCTACCCCAATGTGCATCCAAAATTTGTTTTTTTTAAGATCTCCCATGTCACAGGTTGAGTTTCCTGTCTGTGTACTCAATTAGCTTTTTTTTAAGGTTTTCTTTCAGCTACTTCCTCCATGATATTGGGTACTGGCTGTGGTTCGTAGAACTTGACAACAGGATGTGGCGTTTTGATGTATGATACAAAAAATACTACTCTATTAATTATTCCATAAACCATGGTGTTTGCCACCTCTACAAAGTCCTTGTTAGTCTATGCTTACTGGAGCTTGTGGCCCCTGCAATTAATGATGCAGGCATTCAGAAAATAGAGAGATGACTAACTTGGCAAAAATTATTATTATTATTAACACACTGGCCGATTCCCACCAAGGCAGGGTGGCCCGAAAAGGAAAAACTTTCACCATTATTCACTCCATCACTGTCTTGCCAGAAGGATGCTTTACACTACAGTTTTTAAACTGCAACATTAACACCCTCCTTCAGAGTGCAGGCACTGTACTTCCCAGTGGTAATGAATCTTTTCAATAGTGCAAGAGGTCTGCCAACAGGTTGCTATTTCTGTAGATGATTCATGAAATCTGACAACAGAATTATTGTATTGTATCTAATTATATAAAAAATTAATCATTTAAATTTTAGAAACCAGATTTTTTAACTTGGATAAGTTCATTTATATTCAGCTGAAAGAGATTAGGGGGGAAAGGGGGTCTTCAGCCCCTCAGTATGGCCACTGGATTTACTCCTGGTCTTCCTCGTTCAAATTTAGGCCGCAAAATGATCTTTGCTTGTGAAGGTTCAATGATAACAGATTTCCTACAAAACAAATGTCATGTCCATAGTCCTTATTATTCCCTGTATATATTTTACATTAATTTTAAATATAAAGTTACCAAAACTACTTATATATATAAAATTTTGTTAATTAGCTTACCACATTTATAACATTTAAATGTTCTAGCAGTTGAATGCTGTTGCATGTGTACATTTAGGGTGCCTTTTAAAGCAAAACCCTTGCCACAATGCTTACATACATGTGGCTTCTCACCAGTGTGCGTCATCATATGCCGTTTCAAACTTTGTGTGTACCTGGAAGACAGATAAAGTTATTATTTGAAGAATAATAAACAAGTTTCACTGTAAATTTAGTAAGTTTTGTTTAACACCGACTGTTTCCCACTGGAGTGAGATTAACAAGTTAAGAAAGCCTAGAGAACAAATGGATTTGTCAGTTAAAAATAGGAGAGGAGAGTTATTAAATGGAGAGTTAGAGGTATTGGGAAGATGGAGGGAATATTTTGAGGAATTGTTAAATGTTGATGAAGATAGGGAAGCTGTGATTTCGTGTTTACCTGGAGTTTACCTGGAGAGAGTTTCGGGGGTCAACGCCCCCGCGGCCCGGTCTGTGACCAGGCCTCCTGGTGGATCAGCGCCTGATCAACCAGGCTGTTGCTGCTGGCTGCACGCAAACCAACGTACGAGCCACAGCCCGGCTGATCAGGAACTGACTTTAGGTGCTTGTCCAGTGCCAGCTTGAAGACTGCCAGGGGTCTGTTGGTAATCCCCCTTATGTGTGCTGGGAGGCAGTTGAACAGTCTCGGGCCCCTGACACTTATTGTATGGTATAGGGCAAGGAGGAATAACATCTTGTAGGAGTGAAGAAGAGCCAGTTGTGAGTGTGGGGGGAAAGTTCGTGAGGCAGTAGGTAAAATAAAGGGGTAAGGCAGCCGGGATTGATGGGTAAAGATAG